CCCCCCCCCCCCCCCGCTTCAGGTAGCGAAGGGTGGCGCGATATCTGCCAATCACTTCTGCCTCTTTATGAGCAAGAACAGCTTCTTTCGTATCATGGACTACTTTTACTTTTCAAACAGCAAGTCTCCCAAGGCGAGGACTGACCGAGCCTGGAACATCCGCCCACCGATAGACGTGATTGCCATATCCCTCCCGCCATCAGCGTTGCTGGAGTAACACTGTCACCACATCCCAGATGCAATCCTACCCGGCAAATCAAAAAGGACAAGCCCCAGAAGTGGGGGACGAAGTGGAAGACGAAGGTACTCGTTGAAGCTTGCGCCAAACCAGGTCACGGCATAAAGGCGTGTAGACCGAGGGGGGGAACCGTGCTGAAAGACAACGAGTCGGGGAAAGCTGCCGTGCTGCAAAATATAAATGCACAGTTCCCGCAATCTCCAAAATCACACAGCTATTAGTAGATACTGATGTATTCTATACCTCGGTAAAGCTTGCGCTGGAACTTCTTCTGAATGAAACTTTCGCATCGCCGGGTGTACATCACCCCAGCTACAACAAGAACGCCATCACAAAGAGAAAAAAAAAGCACTAAACAAATAAAAGATGATGGTACCTTCGCAGGGCACCGCAAAACTAGCTAAGAGTAGGTGGGTGGGCCGCTTCCCGGTGCACATGCTGTCCACAAGAAGCAGTCGACAAATCATCATAGTCCGTGCGTATATACCTGTGGTGTAGTAGCACGCACAAAATCGTCAGATGTGGCACCCTAGCTACAAACACAACAACAGCCGAGCTAGTCGGCCCTTGTTGGCCTGCGCTGAGATGTCCCCAGCGGTTCGGCCCTTCCGGGACAGTGATGTCTCGTCCTTGCCGAGACCAAGTACCCCAAGCCAGTCAATCACGGGAGCCAGCTGAGTTACCTGACTCCGGAATTAGAAATCCCGTGCCCTCCGCCAAAGGACGGACGACGGTCCTCGCGGGCTTTTACGGGTCGCCGAGAGCAAAGGCTTCTCGACTCAGCAATCAGTGCCCGGGACGTACGGGAACACCGGCTCGCAGCGGTGGCGAGACTTTTCCTTCGCGCTTGGCGAGACACGCACCCAACCCGGGCCGACCTTAATCTCTTGGCGCTACCAGTCAACAGCCTACAAGCTATGCCTCTCGGGTGCTGACAGCAGACATAATCCGGTCCGTGCAGGGGCTTACTGGAAGCGCGTGCACGTGTTGTGGACCTAGAAAATTCTGCTCTGTTGTTTGTTATCTCTGTCGGGCGCCCTGAAGGGGCGCCTCCACTATTCCTAATCTCCTATACATATACCAAATGAAAGTGGGCGGTTTTACTCTTCACCGAGCTCGGCGACGCTTGAGCTCGGCTAAGCCGGATAACCTGTCCGGATAACCCCTTGTACTCGGCTGAGCCGGATACGGCGTGTCCGGATAACCTGGCGAACTCGGCTGAGCCGGATAAGGTGCCGGATAACCCAGTGAACTCGGCTGAGCCGGATACGGCGTGTCCGGATAACCTGGCGAACTCGGCTGAGCCGGATAAGGTGCCGGATAACCCAGTGAACTCGGCTGAGCCGGATAAGGTGCCGGATAACCCAGTGAACTCGGCGGAGCGACCCGCGAACTCGGCGGGGCGACTCGTGAACTCGGCAGAGCGACCCGTGAACTCGACTGCGCAACTCCCGGACTCAATTGAGCCTGGCTACCGTATCAGACGGTACATGGTACCGTTTAGCCTGAGCTCGGCGGCTTGAACCCCCCCATGATCTCTGCTGAGCGTGTCCAGTGCCTTCCTGAACTCGGCTGGGTCTTCGTCACTGGGTCTGCCACGTGTCACCAGGTCGGGGCCGGTGTGCCTTGAGTTTCTGGCACCATCAGCCGAGTTCAGCGGTCCATCAGCGCATTCTTGCCCACTGTGCTCGGTGGACGGTCATCCCGCCGAGTAGAACTTGGCTCCTGGTACGTTGTTCCACTGCGGCCTTGGAGTGTGACACAAAACTTGATGTTCCCTACACCACATACCTACTTTTTGATATGGCTGTAGTGCTACCTTTTCTAACGTTTTATGCAATAGTGCGCCGCATTTATGACCTGTTGCGGGGTGAGCCCTGAGTACGGAGGAGTAGTAGACTTGGAGAAGAGTTGGTAAAACAAGTTGTGTTGAATTTAAGGAAAGTGTCGGGCACCAAAGGTGGCACCGGAGCCTCGCTCCGGTGCCAACCATTGTTGTCCTCTTAAACATGATCGAACAGAACTTACAGTGTTAATGTGGATATGTACATACTTTCTGTGATAGTACAGAGTTTGTGATATTAGCCATGTTGTGCTAAATTGGGTACTCATACCACTATTTGAGATACTAACTTTAACAGTTTCTCTGTGTCCAAATGGTGGCATCTTATAATCCCAGCTGGTAAACCAGAATTTGAGGTAACGAGGATGAGTAGATAAGATATAGTGGTAGAACGTTTAGCGTTAGAACATTCTGGAAGCTCTGCCGCCGCTCAGATTTTGAGGTTTGTCCTCTGATAGGTTTCAACATGTAGTGAGCAGGCCTAATATACAGGCTTTGAAAAATCGAGCAGTGAGAGCTCATTTGCAAATTTCCAAGCTCCAGTCAAGGTACTATTTCTGTGTTTTATTCTGCCCTAACAGGTTGTTGGATTTAGGAGAGGCAAATCCAGGTTCCGGACAGAGATTATGTGGATGTGTGTTTGACGCCGCAGTCGGGCTAGCCCTCAAAAGTGAAGCGTCTTCACAGATATCAAGGACTCGGAGTATGGAGATGCCGATCTCATGCTCAGCTCACTGCTATGACATTATTTTATTTTTGGTAGATGCTAACTTTTGTTATTTGTATTATTACAGATGCCTCGCATCCTCCGTACCTCTGTGATTTGCCAGAACCTGGAGATGCTGCCAGACCGCTAATCGATGTGCGGCTCCCTGTCATGGAGCAATGCTCTCCAGGTGAGAGACTTTCTCACTCCGGCGATGATGCGCCCCGTGCTTGCCCGGCTTGCTGCTGTGAGGCCCCGGAAGGACCACGGACACCCACGTTTTGGCGCGTACACAATGGACGCACTACAGAAAGGTCTGCGGAGGCTTCGCAAACAGCTGGTGTATCTGAACTCCAAGTTCGGTCCCAAGACTGGCTCCAGGCGAGCTGGTGCTATCGTCCGCAGCTAGAAGCCTGTCCTGCTCATTATTGGGCGGCGCCCAGGTCAGCGCCCAGACACCTGGCACTGCATTGCTTGCACCTGGGTTGGCAACAAGTTCCTGTTCATTGAATCGGATCGGTATCATTATTTTCCAAACCGGGTGAAGTTGTTAACTAGCCTCTTTGAGAAGATCGAAGGTGTGTACTCCATTGAGAACATTTAGGATCAGAAAGTTTCCTTTTTGCATATATACATACATATATTCTTTTAGTAAGATATTTAAGATAAATTTCAACTCCATTACGAGTTTTGGTATCTCTTCTTTAACCCCCCAGCGCCCAAGCTGTTTTTTTTTACCTGTTTTAATTTCACGGTATTCGCTCAACATGTTAGTCGCCCAGCATCTTGAAGTCGCGCAACACTTTGTTATACTAGAGTCTCGCATAAGTTTAAGTACCGACTATATACAACGGCATGACCATTTCGCCAAATCGTTTGTTATGTTGTACAAACAGCATGTACATGGTGTATATATTATGTAAATACAGCATGACAATGTTGTAGATACACGGTGATAAGGGATTTGGGATGAGAGGTCAGTGGTTTTTCTATCAAGAGACTGGACAACGTCCTTCAAGGGTGTGTAAAGTAAAGTGACTTGCACGGTATATAGCACGAAAGTGATGACGCATCGAATGAATACCGTATAATACTTCTAGCCTCCGACAACTTCTAGCATCCGACTGACAAAATCAGCAAATCCGTAGAAGTTGCACTGAATTGACGAATGCAAGGCGTCGGATGCTACAAGTATCATACGGTACCTTCATAAACCAAACGCGTTGTAGCCTCGAACTGCCACCTCAACATGATTTTACACGTTACTACCACTCTGTTACAGAGGTCGACACACATCTGCTCAACCTGATCTTTGTATATCCCGTCGAATCGGGTTTATAACTCCCTAATTCCAGTCAATTCTTTTCTAATTCCCTCCCAAAACACGAGTTTATCTCGAAACGTATCCGGGAGGGTGTCGGTACCAACGCTAGAACATGCCTCACGCTCAACTTGGCTCAACTATTCCTTATCATAATCTATTGTACCTTCTTGTCGTTCTCTATAATGCACACGGTTAGTTGTAAGTTGTGCTGCACCGGTTAGCTTACGCAAACTCATGATGTAAATATCAAGTTATAGAATTGCTGTAGATTCGGTAGCCGTTCCTTCTTACACTTGAAAGGATCGATGTAACTAAAATCGCTCTTTATGTACTCTAACACGCACTGTGAGGTTTGTATCCCGTAATCTGGTCTGACAAGCCTAAGCCCTGTGCATTTGCAGGGAAGGCCTAACTTATGCATCTAATCCGCCCATGTTTTAACATGTTGAACGTACAACATGTGGGCGTTTAGGGGTTAACTATTTGTTTTAGTCAGTCTTTTTGTTGTGTAGCGTTAAACTTTAGATTCACAGTTTAGTGTATATATATTCGTAGCGGAAGTCTTGGATTGCAGAAAAGTCTTAACGTAATTTAAGATAAGATGTATGACAATTTGGTAAATACTGTGGTTTCATTAAGATATTTACTTGTTCTGAATGATGTTATATATTATTTAAGGAATTATGGGATGCTTGTAAATACTTAAAATTGAGTATTATAGTTTGGAAGCCTTTTGAAATTTTATTATTTATTGTTTAAGCGTATTTGGTTTAGTGGAATTTGTGTTTCGGGTCCGTTATGTTAAAATAATTCCGAATTGGGCCCATTATTTTCAAATCGAACGTTCATTTCGTTTTTTTAAACTTTGGATACCCTGTATCCATAATGTACCCTCTAATAGTTCCACACTCTGTTGCCATCCGTACACTGTAAACCAATTGCATATGTTACTGTGCATATTTTTTAATGTAAAAAAAGATCTGTACAGTGTTAAAACATTTATCGTTAAGGCACAAGATAAAGGTTCCTTTGCCAATAATTTCGCTTATAAAATATTGGTCTGTTCAAAGACTATAACCAAGAGTATAATTTCGATAATAAACGCTAAAACTAGTTTGGACTCTACCATTTTGTACTATACTACAATTAAAATATGTTAAAAAGTGTGTACTATTACGCATACATATTCAAAAAGCCGTATTCGTAATTGATACTTTTTAAGAAGTAGACTAAATATAACTTGTGTTCAAGAATATTATCGTTTGTGAAAAAGCAGTATTGTAGTAGTAAGTGCGGTTATTTAAGCTTTTCTCCTATGCTTGCCGCATATACTTTCCTAAACGGCTTTGTTTAGTGCTTTTCATATAACTTAAGCATATATCATGGCACCACTTTAGAATAGGGAAGCGTTTGATACCAGGAAACATTTCTGGAACAGGGAACAGGGTTCACGTTAACCCTTTCGCGAATGACTTGAAATTGTATACTAAAATAGCTTAAGTGTAATCGAACTAAAACGTGCCAAAATCGCGCGTTTTGGTTGTCCCACCCTGTGCCGCAATGCTTGTGTTTGAACCCTGCGCTTCCCGTTTTAAGGGATGAGCTAATTGGCTGAAATTCAATAATTGTCCGAACGACGCAGTCATTGGCTAATCGGTTTGGCTTTATACGTAATTTATGGAGCCCTGTTTGCTTTGGCAGGGCCGTGCTGTTTGCTGTGTAGCTGCTCGCGCAAAGCAGACGTCACTCTATCCACTTCGGCCCCCGTACATCGACAAGTAGTGAAAGCTGCATCTACCATTATGCGGTAGCATCATCGTGTAGCCAAGACCGCGTAGGGCGCCGAGAGCACGACGCTTTGCACCTTCATCAAAGAAGCGAGCGGTACTGACTCAACACCGAGTCCTGTGTACTCAAGTATACTGTACTACTCGGTACGTGAGCTCCTGATAGCCCGGCATTTGAGAATCAATAGCATAGCGGTATTGCGCATGGTGCCCATGTAGGCTTAGCACTTGACGCAAGTTCCAAACCTAGAACTACTTTTAATTTTTTTGCACATTGACTAGGATTGTCTTTCCTGCTCAGCCAGCTAGATCTCGCCTACGTACTAGAAGCCGATCTGCACGTGCATCACGGTGTCTGGCATCCTGCAGCAAAAGCAAAACAAGCTCAGACTGGAATTGTATAGTGAAACCCATATCAATGCACATATTTATATTTTGCTCGCTCCTATTCCTCACGTTGTCATGTACTGGTATACATATAGCTGCTGTTGGAAGGATTGTTATCAAGACGCTTTTACCACCACTTGGGCTGTATTAGATGTTACTAAAGATATATTGTGTTGTTGGTGATACATCAGTCTTGAAACATACAATCTAGGTGTACAGAAGCTCGTTAGTGGCATGGTTGAAGGCCCAAGGCGCGATTTTTTTTGCGACGATAGTTATTGCGCTGGCAAACACGTACATTTACGAAAGCTCTACCAAGTTTACGTCTTTTGGCACTCACTTCAACGTCTGGTATGTTCAGTGATTGTATCGGGCTACAGCGATCAACAGAGTAACGTCGTATTTCAATACACTAGTTCTTGGTCATACAGCCAGAGTACAAATAGAGTCACTGCATTATTGCCTGGAACTATTCACGCAAACACGCGCCATCGCAGTGTCGGAGACCGGCACCACGGTAGGTTTTCAACCCAGGTGCAGCCGTCCCCACCACTGTTACTACTCAACTACTCAGGTCATATAGCACTCAAGTGAATGAGTGTCTCGAGAGAGATTTAACATTGATCTAGCACTAAACACAGAGACGTCTGAAGAACTACTTACTGGTTCATACTCTTCATATCTAGTTATAATAACTACAAAGCCGTCTCTACCAGAAAATACGGAGCACTTGAGCGCTTTTGCAAGTGTAAGTAGAACTAACAGGAGTATAGATTGATGGCGGCAATCTGCCAGGTTGGTGCAGAATGAGCACCTGTGTAAGTTTACTCATTGGGCAAGTTCCACACTACAGCGTTACGCTGGGCGCCATGTTGGCCTTGTTACTTGCTCAGGAAATGTAAGATATTCTGCATTGACAACTGCATCTACCTTAGTCCCTCTTCTATACGGCGTTTGTTGCTCGCATGGCTATAGGACCCGCCCGAGGATGCATCGTAGTCTACTTTGCTTGACAAGTGAGTGCGGCGTTTCCGCCAATGTCTAGATTAGTAATTTACGAAACTCGCAGCCTTCTAGTTGGCAGGATTGGCTATAATTGAACAGAGTAGTCCGACAATGGTCGAAGGGTGGTAGCAAACTCAAAACGGGCCATTTTGGCACGTTTGAACGCGATCTCCGGTGCAACGTTTGGGAAGGCATCAAAACGTGCCATTTTGGACCGGTTTGCCGCAAAAGGGTTATGTATACTTTTCCAAAATTCTTAATTATTTCATAAACACGTTCGATTCGAAAATTACGGACCCGATTCGGAATTATTTTAGAATAACGGACCCGATTCGGAATTATTTTAAAATAACGGACTTGAAACACAATTTCCCCTTTGTTTTATGTTGTTTACTGTTTTTTACTGTTATCTTATTTCTTTGTTAACCCTTTCACGGTAAAAGGATACAGAAAGCGCCCTTTAGATGATTTTCCAAAACACGGTAGAGTGTACCCACTCTTAAAGGGCGCATCCTGTGCCCTTTTGCACAAGTTCTAGCTAGTAATCAACCTTCTTTTAAAACAAATCATAATCGGTACGCAGAGTAATCATCATGTAATCACTGTCTATACAAATTCTAAGTCATACGCATACATTTTATGTATCCTGCAAATCACCGTAGATGGCATGTCCCATGAGACACACCGAAAAGGATCCGTAACTTTGTAAAAGGACGCCTAGAGCGCCCTTTTAGAAGGAAATATCAATGAGTTGTATACTATAATTTATTGAGGATACTCGCGAAAGGGTTAATAACTATTTGTGAGTATAAGAGATTGTTGTTATATGGTTAATAATTTTATATTTAAAGTTTGAGCTTGGCTGATTTGTTATTGTATTTTACCTCTTCATCTTCAGGTTACACAGTGGCTGTCTTAGTTTAAAGAATGTGGGCTTTGATAGAGACTTTGTAAAGATATCTACTACCATTTCTTTGGTGTTGCAGTATTTTACTTCAAATTCTTTTCTGTTTACTTTCTCTTGCACAAAACACTAGCGATTCTGAATATGCTTGCTTCTACCATGTAGTTCAGGGTTGTATGAGAGTTTAATACAACTTTGGTGGTCATCATATATTGTGATAGCATGTGGGCTTTTGTGGTACAGCTCCAACAACAGCAAGTTCAGGAATATGAGTTTATGCATAGGGCTATGTATTCTATCTCCTGTAGTGGAGAGCACGGCTCTGTGATGCTTTCTATATTGCATGTTTTGGATTCCTCCGTGGGTAATACCCAGTTGAGGTATCTAAGGCCTCTCAGCATTCCAGTGGGGCTTACGAGGGTTGGCTAGGAATCGGCTGACTTCTCTCAGAAAGTACTGTTTTTGCGATCACGAACAATGGACTATCCCAATTGGTACTGGGCTTCACCAAGATCAGAAATTTTAAAGCGTCTTTTGAGAGCGTCTTTAATGTGGTTGATAATGCGAGTTGTCGGTGCAATAATGAGGAAGTCGTCGACATAGACCAAGGCATAGCATGTCTGACCGTCAATCTCTCCGATGAAGACGCACTGATCTTTAATTAGCTTGCGGAGCTTCATGGTTTTGAGAAATGCACACACCATAGATACCAGATGCGGGGTGCTTGCTTTAGGCCGAAAAGGCTCTTGAGGAGTTTGCACACGAGATGTTCTTTACCTCGGACGGTGAAACCTTCAGGTTGTTCCATGTAAATTTCTTCATCTAGGTATTCATTAAGAAGAACTGTCTTGACATCCATTTGGTGGAATTCTAGATCCAGTAGTGTGGCGATCGTCAAGAGAAGACGCAAGACTTCCAAGCGGATGACGGGTGAGAAAATCTCATCATAGTCAATCCCATACCTTTGGAGGAGCCTTTCATGACAAGGCGTCCCTTATAGCGATCGATGGTGCCGTCGTCTTTGTATTTGACGACAAACGCCCACCGACAGAGCAGTGCTTTTCTTCCTTTTGGGAGAGCTGTGAGAATCCAAGTTTTTTGTCCATTAAGGACTTGTATTCAGAGTGGGCAGTTGCCTTCCAGTGGCGGGCTTCGGGCAGGTGCATTGCAGCAGTATAGAGCTTTGGCTCTAAAATATGTCTGGTGGCCAACAATGTGTAGATCTGGGAGATGTGTGCTTTGTGTTCTTCCTGGTCACGTCATCATTGAGAAGTGCCTTTGTTGCATCAATCTGTGTACCAAGATCAACGATTTTCGCTCTCTTATTAGAGGTCGTTGCTTCAGCCGTGAGTGCGTCAGTGGTGCGTTTCAGCATGACAGAAAGAGGTGGTAGTGCATGTGATGTTGGTAGAATGGGTGCCCGTTCAGTGGTCGGTCCGAGCACATTCGGGGCAGAGTTTGGATTGAGGAACTCAAATTTAGCGAATTCACGCTCCCGGGAAGTGACATCTCTGCTCTATATAATGCTGTTCTCCTGGGTGTCAAGGGGTCTATACCATTTCTTGTCGGCTGAGAGTCCCAAGTACATGCATTTGCGAGTCCTTGCCTCAAGTTTGTTTCGGTAGAGTTCCGGGATTTGGGCGTAAGCCGTGCAACCAAATACTTTGATGTAGTGAGCTGATGTTTTTTTCTTAAACCATTTTTCATGACGGGTGATATTGTCCGCCACGGAGCTAGGCGTGATATTGAGTAGGTTTGCAACATGGTGATGCATTTCCCCCATAATACCTGCGGCAGGTCGCCGTCAATGAGGAAAGCTCTAGTGCGATCAGATAGAGTGCGCATTTTCCTGTGGAGTGTAGGCGTTGTGAACTGCGCATGCGTGTTATACTTTTTAAAGATGATATGACCCAGTTTCTCGTATTTCCGAGCATTCCACTTTGCAAGTGTTCGACTTCGTCGTCGTGCAAATTCTCGTGGTAGTGGATTTCACCCACTTTTGTACGGAAAATGTTCTGGGCTTTCTTACTAAAGTCCTTGAAGACGTAGGACTCGTACAGATCTGATTTTCGTTTAATGATGTAAATGAACATGTAACGAGTGTAGTCGTCAATGAAAGTCAGGAATATTGGCATCCTGCGAGTGTTGGGACTGGCAGCGGTCCTGCCATGTCAGTGTGAACTTTTTCAAGAGGAGATTTTGCCCTTTCCACTGTACATGTATTGACTGGGTTGCAATGGGACTTAGCGTAGGTGCAGGACGAGCAGAAGTAGCCTTGCTTTGGGTCAAAGTTCGACAGTCCCAGGTCCGCGAAGGTGTTCGCCTTAGCCAGATCCTGCATAGTGCGGAAGTTAGGATGGAACCGCCACGCGCACTTGCTCAGCTGCTGATGCTGGCATGGTCTTTTCAGCACAGGTCTCTTGGGATTCTGGGGTCCCCTGCTTGAGAACGTAGCGATTGCGCGCAAGGTCGTTCAGGACCTTGGTCTCGATGTTGCGCTTGAGGTCGTCGTACGGAATGTATTATTACTGCCCTTCCAGACTGCGAGGTCGGGTTTCCAGTCTGTTGGCAGGAAATGATACAGATAGAGCGATTTCTGCTCGTCCCTGAGCACCCTATTGATTGAATGAGCGGCTACCTTCATTGCTTCCTCCAGGTCGTAGATGAACGAAGTGAGGTCACTTTCTTCCTCGTACTTCGGTGCCATCAGATACGATCTGATGAAGTACGGGTCGCCGTGGATGACTGCATCTTCCTTCTTGCTAAAGAGAGTCTGATAGATCTCATACGCTATGGTCCTCTCCTTGACCGTGTGGACATGTTGATCGTCGATGGTCTTGATCAGGAACACCTTGGCTTTCGCTTCTATAAGGCGCAGCTTCTTGGAGCTCAGCTGTTGGCTCTTGGCCTTCAGCTTCTCAGCTCGGTCCAGCTCCTGCTTCTTCTGGGCAGTGAAGGACAGGGCCACGGGAGGTTTTTCTTTCTCCATGTCCACATCGCCGTCATCTCCGCAGGAGTCATCCGAGCTGCCATCAGAGGACTCACTCGATGAGGAGCGCCGCGCTTGACGACGTCGTGACGCTCCAGATGATGAACCGGGTTGAGATATTCGTCTGTGCCGAGGTTGACATCCGCGTCCCCAGCGTAGTCGGCTTGAGTGGCGAAGCCGAGGAGGTGCTTCCCGTCGAGAGCAGCTGTGACGCGGGTCTTCCAGATGATGAAATTCCAGTCGTTCAGGCGAGAAAGGTCACGGTCATTGGCTTGCGAGGCTATCGTAGGGCTAATGACCTGTTACGGAAGCCGAGGAAGTCGGTGTTGGTGTCGATATAGGGAGTAGTTGGTAGATTTGAGAATGAATCCTTATCGCTAGCCTAACATGCATGCCTCACTGTACTCCTAAACCAGCATAGGGCAAATTTTGCGCATTTTTCTTACCTATGTGCCTACCCTCGTCTTTTTTGTTGTTTTCATGTTTTTCCTACTAAATGCATGTTCAATGTTTATGATTTCTTTTCGTGTTTTACCTACATGCACGTTCAATGTGACTTGCTGACCCTCTCGGGTAGCAACCACGTGATAGAGCCTCTGGCCTCGAGCAAGCAATCCCGAGCCTTTGCTCCGCATCGCTGCATCGCTCTGGCTTGCTTGCTCAGCAGGCCAGATGTGCTGGTCATGACAGCGTCTTGAATTGTGCAGTCGTCCTCAATTGTATACAGGGTAGTAGTAATCTGCATGTTAATGTGGATTTAGACAAACCCAAAGTTACAAGTGCATGGGCACTGAGGGCCTTCAAGAATGATGCCACAATTTGTATTTGTGCAGATGAAACAGGTGGGCGGTGCAGGGATATGATCCACCACAAGCGCCTCGTCATCTTTAAATTCATACCGGTAACATTACGTACCAAGTCACTGCAAAAGAACGAGTGTAACAATGGTTTCGTTTTGATAAATTACGATTTACCCGTTTTTATTGTTTTTTTTGGGTCAAAATTACATATTCGTAAAGGTAACAATCGCGGTGGCGGTTTCCGGGGGCCTTGCGCTCCCCCAACGATAATATCTTAGGACCATATTATGGTCAACCACCTGATTTTAGCCCCAAAAATCATATCCTGCCGCACACACACACTTTCTTTTGAGCGTTGGTTGGGCTTGATCCGTCCCTGGGCTTCTACCACATATGGGGCTTGAGGTACGCGCCTCCGCCGGTTCGTCGCAGCACAGGACCCGGAACCCAGAGCGCATGCGAGCCGTGGGGCCATCACGGTCGAGGCGAGCCCTTCCACTGGGGTTTCAGTTCACCATGCCGAGCCCCTCCGAAGAAGGCCGAGAAAGGAGGGCACAACCCGCCGCAGCCGCACTTTAATTTCGGCAAGTTGCATGACCCTCGCCGTCGGGACAAAAGCAGCGACGCCTCTACTATTTCGTTTTGCTATGGTACATCCTTTCCTTTCGGCGTTAGATGAATGCGGTAAAACCTGAAGCAATCGCAAGTCATTGAGCTCCTAACAATATTTGATCTAGGTGTAACTGTGTCAGCCAGAACCGCTTCGACATTGGCAGGCACGATGCCCTGGTCCAGAAAAACTTTGTTTCATTCTCTTACTGGCAACAAGAGAATGAAATAAACTTATTCTGGACCAGGGCATCGTGCCTGTGGGGATAACAATGCGTTCTTAACAGCTATATTGCATTTATTTCGTTTAGTTCATTTGCATTGGTTGAAAACATTGTGGCTCGGTAAGCTAACGTCGTTTATAATATTTCTGAATTACAAAATAACAGGGCAAATTAATTGAAATTTAGGTACAGAAATCACTCATATACTTTTACCACCTACGCGCTACTTGATCTTAAACGTACTTTGTCAGGTTGGCCCGATATGGCATAAATAATCCATCATGCCGCACCAACCTCGACGCTACTATCATAACGATGGAGAAGACGGGGATGCGCACCAGGAGACTCTCAATCGATGCCTGAAAGGCCGAGAGCGCGCGCGAGACCGCCTAATTGATCGACCTCAGCACTTCGACCAGGAAATTGAGGTGATGGAGCAATCCATCCATCGTTTCGGCAGCTACGGAATCGAATGTGACCTAGCACCAACACCGACGCCTGGGCACGCGTACGCACTCCGCCGACTGTAGAATGTATTGAGACCTACGGCGACCGCGAAGAGGGCATGTTTGGTTCCGACAACTTTACGTTTTCTAATTTTATCTGACTGAAAGTGTTCTAGCGATTCGGTGTGTTACTGTTATTTATTTTATTGGCTTAAACAGGTTTCCTCGCGTTAAGCTTTGATTCATTTTCGGTTTTGCGGGTAATACAGTGTTCAGTGTTCAAATCCGTGTCGTGACGGCCGCGTTTGCCGACGGTTTTTTGTGCTCGCAGTTCTGCTACGAGTGAAAGAACGTCGTGCTGGACCATGCCGTGGACCGTAGTAAGGTGATTGGAATGAACAAGGGCGCTGTAGGGTGGTCCCGCTTTGGAGGCTCTGAGCAAGACGTGTAAGAAGAGGAAGGATCGCAAGGCCGTCCAAGGCACGAAAAAAGCCAGAGCAGCCTGTCGCATTGCAGCTGTGGTTACAGTTCTCCATACGACCCAAAGAAGGTGTGATGGCACGGTCGCGGGGGCCATCGCGGTTTCGGTGAAAGGTGGCCGTGGATAATACACGTTACAAGTTGGCGTAAAAAACCGCTTCATCTCTGCGGTCACCGTTATCACCACCGATACGGTGGGCTCGGAGAACTTCCCCTTTCTCCAAAAACGCACTGGATCTACTTTGTTTACAACCAGCTTTCTAAAGCTTGCAGTCCCTAAAACAGGTTCATTTGCTAGACCTGGCTGCAAATGGCTGCCTCGGAGACACTTGCCGTCATGAAAGTTCTCTTTGGGACGCTTGTGTCCCTGCTCTTCTAAGCGAGGTAGCGCAAAGAAATGTCACTACGGATGAGGTTTGTCGAAACTAAAGTCTGATGGGTGTGTCGGACGAAAATGTTCTCGAGCCTGTAAATATTCAAGGGGTCACTGCTGCGAAGCCAATAAACTTAAGCAGCGGCAAAGTGCTGTTTTACAACCCACTAAGGTGGAGCGATCAAGACAGCGTGAGGGTCTGCGCCAAAACAATCTGCGGGATCTTGCCGCCGCCCAAAAGAGAATGATTTCGCTTCAGAACATCAGAACATGTATGCCTGCTTGCGTTTCAGAACATGTATGCCTGCTTTCGGGACGCAAAACGACACCTTCGATTGCGACGCGTATGTCATGTGACGTTCCAAACCGTCTGGGGGACAGATGCCCAGCATAGAATCCTCGGAGCAGTGCGCTACAGTTTTCTAGTATCCATTTAGCTGGACGATAACGAGCACTTAATCATACATGTTTGCTTGAACCATCTGGATTACATATTTGGCAGCATTCTGGCTGTCCTTTTGGGTTTGTTTCGACATAAAATATCTTGGTTTTACCCGACGAAATTGATATACCCACCGCAACGGATGCTAATCGGGCCCTCATCAAGCAGGCTGTTCCCTGTGGCGCTCAGGAAAGCCGCTATAACACTGTGCTGTGCCGCGTGGCGCCTGCAAGGGCAAAATTTTCAACTGACCCTGATGCTATGTACCCACACCAGCGATACTCTAGTAATATGCGATTCGCTCCACCATCGGCTAATCGGGTCCATATATAGGCAGATCGAATCTATGTTACACATCTGTACAACTCTCACTGATTTAATCGACGACAGTTTTGCGTATTAAGTGGAAGTGGAGGTGTTTTGTTTTGGCTAGGGCTGGGGTTCTTGTGGGGTTTCTTGGCGATAACATGGGTTTTGTCTGGCCCACCGTTGGTCTAATGGTTAGGATTCGACCCTCCTACGGACGAAGTCGGGATTTGATTCCCCGGCGGCGCACGCCTTCCTTTGTTTGCCTTGCCTTGACTGGTCCATAGTCGGTGGCTTCGCTACGATGTCGGTGGTTTGTTGCTCAGTGCACCTTTTGTCAATTTTGAGTGGTGACCCTATTACTCGTTGCCGAGGGCTCGGACGCATTCCCAGCACTGTGCTGGCCCATGCCACTCTCTCCTGACCCCCAACAGTCGCGCTATTCAGCCTATTGGTGTTCCTTTGACGAACGGGGTGTCCAGATCCGAGTGCGATACCGGACATCGGCGCTTGATATACGCCAAACTCACACGGTTGTCATCGTCAGAGGTAAATGCGCGAAGCAAAGCACCTCATATCGATATGATACGGAGCACCGCTTGCAAGCAGCGTACCAGCAGAGCAACAGCGGTATCCTTGACAACGCGTAACTGACTACAGACCGTAGCTGTTGAGGACGTTTAGATAATTATAGTTTATACTACCTCTAAGCCCCCCCCCCCTCGTCATTCGAGATGGAACTGGTTAGACAGCAGTATCAAGGCCGTGCGATCAAATGTTGCGTTTGCTTGTAATGCCAGCGCAGCAAATGGTAATGTACGCTCGGTATCCTGAGTTCGACCTATCAGTTATAGACTGTTGCAGGATGATGACAAGCAAGGCAGGGCTTTTCCTAGTCGGCGCTATGATAACGGCCTATATCTCAGCAGGCTCGTGGACCATTTGGTTGCCTAATATCTCGAGTGAAACAGCTCAGTGCTTGCTTGGGGAGGTTGCTTCTTGAGGCGAACGAATATCATCTGTGGCGGGTTCATAAGAAAAGCAAAGCATATAAATCTACGCGTCTATCACCCCGTGATGTATCTCGCTGTAGTGCATTGGGACCGGCCATCTGAGCGGTAAAAGCGTTCGTCGGACACGTACTCCAGCAACATCACTTGGTGTTGCTTCCATGCTACCCAGAAGACAAGCTGGCCTGGTAGTAACAACAACTAGGGCACTAAAATATACCACACTAGCTGGAGCGTATGAACCAGACAGAGCCAATACCGCAACGTAGATTGCCAGCGAACTGTATATTAGGTGGTGTTATGGTGAGGTACCTACGTAGATTTTGAGTATTGGCTGCGATGGCCCGTAATCAGAACAATGCGAGAAAAAATAGCAGAGTTGTGCTGAGACGAATCGCAACATTTTATGCATGCATTATTACTTGCACTACTACAATCCACTGCGTCCGTTGTTCGCATGCTATAAAGATTAGTGTATTTCTGTGAGCCCCCGTCGTTTGACGAGCGTCACGCTTCTCCCACTACTCAGATCGCCGCCAGTACGCTGTCTACAAATCCCCACCGTCTCGGTGCTCGCACAGCGGCTTCAGCTTGCCACCGACAACCTTCACCGCTGCTACAATAACATCTCCATACCATGCCGCTCGCGTGGCGCGTAGTGTCTCCTTGTAAACAGGGTTTCACGCATAAGTTACTACAGTCACTCATAACTCTAACAGACGCGATATCTGCTAGGGGTTCGAAGACTTCCTCTGCCTTGGCGTAAGATGCACCAAGAACTATACATATATATGCGACCGCCGCAACGGGTGATCCATGAGAACTTTGGATTCCTATAGATTGAAAAGAGCATATTTTAACCTATGAGCGACAGGCATAAAAGAGGAATTCGGCCAACCAGTCGTTGACAAGTTCCTATCTTAGAATATTGTATATAGAGGGTTAGAAACACATATAGAAATAAATTCGTTGTCTGTGAGTATGTCACGCTTTTGGCTACACGTATTTAATCGAGTAAGTAGAGCGCTTTCATACCATTCTAATCACAACATCAAGCATCTAGCACGACGCGGAAGTGCCCGGCCACCGTGTGCTCACGATGCTTGCTCGGGCCCAAGGCGGCGTTCTGCCCTAAAACTTGGCGAGCGACATCATGGTACGTACCGCTAGCGGGGCACGCAATTGCAGCAGCGTAGGATTCGTTTTGACTAACGTACAAGTGTGGCGTCTTTGCTATTATGTAGTTGAAGGCCAAAGCCCCTGGTCGCTTTGTGCTCGCGGCGCTTGCTCGACCTTTAGGCGACGGGCGGAGCTGAAATTTGACAGGCAGCTTGAAGATGGGTTCCATGAGCCACCCGTTTATGTGCAGCGCTGCAGCACACTTAACACTTCTACTCCGACATTACGGATTCTCCGGAATCCAATTTATAGAGGTGAAAATATTCAGCCATGTCCGCAACGAATTCTCAGTGAGCTAAATCCGCATATAGAAGTTTATATGCGATAAATTTAAGCAGGCCAGCTGTATAGTCCCTATCGCATGCGACATGAAGATTTTCGGAAAGGGTTGGGGGATCAGATATTAATCTCCGAAGGAGAACGCGTGGCTGTCACCAGCCTTTCATTTCGAAATCGGCGGCCGAGAAGACACCATCACTCTGGTACCATGTACGCACGCGTTCGAGAAGTCATTCCAGCAGATATGGCGCGAGTTGACGAAGAAGGGCTGGACCTAAAAGAGATCAACGGGACTCAGCAACGACCAACGGTACCTGCCACCCGGTGGGAACGTCAAAGGAAAACAAGGCGTCGACTACTTTGTTGGTACGTTTATTTTAGTGTGTTGAGGTTGCTTACGGCTACTAAACTCCAATTTACTGGCCAGGTGAAACTAGTTTGCTGCGATACTACTGCCGCGACGGCTACAGCTACTGCTGCGACGGACCGGACGGCACGGACAGGCACGGCGACTGCTGCGACGGCCACGGCGACTCCTATGACGACGGACCTGCCACTTGCTCAGGCAGCGGCTAAGCGTCCTGCAGCTACGAAGCCTATACAAGCGACGAAGGCGACTCCTGAGACTTTCCGGCCGTCTTCACCGAGGACTGCCGTTGCTCCGGCCAAGGTGGCAAGAGCTCCAAGAGCTGCTAGCTAGGCGACAAGGTGTGGAGCGGCGGCCAAGCGCAAGGCGATGATGTCCAGGGCGCCTTCGAAGCGACGCAAGAAGGATACGATGTTGTGGTGAGATGTATTGGCTGCAATGATACTGACTTTATTGTTGTTACGGATTCTACGGTATCTGCAGCAACGGTGACGCCAGCGGACCTTCCGGAGAATACAGCAGAAGATGTTCCGGAAGAGGCGATGGATGTTGCGGAGACTCCCAACCATGGCGTACCGGAGACGGCGGTAGTGACAGAGGATGCGGCTGAACCAGGCGTTACGGAGGGGCAGAGTACAGCGCGGTGCGTTCCAGAGATGGCCAGCGCTGTTCCACTTGACGACGTTGACTTGGACAGCGGCGTCATCGACTCTTCGCCAATGCTGATCAGGATGACCTCAATGTTGAAGAAGACGATTGGACCCTCTTGCTCTGCTCAGATGCTGGAGGTGGCGACGAAACCATTGCGTGGGATCAAGCATGGATTATAGTGACTCGGGTTCTCATTGACAAGTCGAGATCGATGGATTATCTCGTAGATAACTACGATAGCCGCATGATCGCAATAAACGTCATACTGAAATGGCCCAATGCCAGCTACCAATGACTTCCATGAAATGAAAGCTTATCGTGTCGAAACTGCGCAAGCACCATACACTTGGTGAAGACCACTAAGAGAACATGAACACTATGAAAACATCGTTCATGTTTTCGTCAATTGATCTCGTTTGTAGGATATCATTGGGCTAGGCAACGAATATTGGTACCCATGTACGTCAAAGAAGGCAAGAGCGCAACACTGTCGGCAACAGCGTGCGCATACCAGAAGTAGCTAAGGTGGTTGAAAAGATTGACCCAAAGTGTTAGGTCGACAGAGCAAGTGAAAGGAGATCCACTGTGCTGAATGCTTGTCGTGCTATCGGTCCCTTCGCTGCAAGGGGGAAAACGGTTTCGCAGGAGATCGCAATTGGGAGTTTTTTGGTCATGCTCTGTACTGCCCATCCCACCGCATTGCCCAATCAAATATCTCGGTTAGGCCACGAGGCACCCGAAAGGGCTTGATACATGATATATAGTACTGATTTTTCGGTATACGTTAATTCATATATTAGGAATTACGGATTCTCCGGAATAATCTTCGGATTAGAAGTGTTAACCCTTTCTCGGTGTAAGGGCGCATTTCTCGCCCTTTTGCACGATTGTCAAAACAAGGTAGATAATCACACTGTAGAAGGGTGCATCCTGCGTCCTTCTACGTTACATGTCGGAATCATGAAGTAATCATTGGCCATAAAACTTCTAAGTCATAAGTCCCCACACTATGTGACCACCAATTCACAGTAGACGGCATGTCTCATGAGACATGCCAAGACAGTAGATGTGCCAAACAATTGCGTATCTACAGCGAAGTATGTGTATGTGACTTTGTCACCAATAAACCCGCCAATTTACAATGTATGTATACACTGAAAAATACTCCTTAAATTCGATTTTACCCCCTAAATTTGATTTTTCCTCGTAGCATCTTACTGACTGTGCCACCATCTGTAACTGAACAGTAGATGGAAAAACGTTGCATTCATAATCGAACTAATCAATTCCGATACAACTACTTCTAGGTAAGGAAATAGCGAAAGTCGTGAAGACTTCTACATTTCGTATAACGCATCTGACACATATAATGGAGAAAGTAAGGTTTTAGAATAAGAACTCTCGGAACAATGCTTACAGCTGTAACTGCTTTAGTGGACTAGGTGGTGTTAAGGGGCGCCATGTCGAAGACGACGCTTCTGCCTTTACTACTAGTTTTCTGCATTCAATACGTGCATCCACATTATTTTCAACCTTTAATATTTGTTCTGGTTGGATCTACTAACTTCTAAGAATTTTAGATACTAACAATGTATGCTCAACAGATCAGCGAACAGACTTGACATCCGTATACAAAAAGTGATTAGAAGTATGTATGAACAATCGATCATTGAAAAGGCATAAGATTGGAGCCAAACTATAGACTTAACTTCAGTAAGTTGATTTGCAAGTCTACATACAGTGTACCACCGGAATCGCTCACGACTGAATAGACCTCAAAATCAGAAGCTGCCTACCGCGCACGGTAGGGGCTACTTCTGTAATTAGGACGCATCTTCCAGAAACACGCTCTAATTGATCGAGGATGTTGTGTGCACTACGCGATTCCAGATACTTCCTTTATCACATCATCGCTAGATCGATTGACGGGCTTATTAGTTGGTTAGTCTGTTTCTGATTGAATAGGCTGCTTTCGTCTTTCGTTCAGAGAAACCTAATAAACGAAACTAGTGTTGGGCACGTTCTAGTCGCTATATTTGTTGATTACGGCGATCCCCGGTAGCGCATCGTTGTCAGTGAGCTCATGAACGGCCTCACACACCTACGCATCCGCTCCTTCGACGCTTTGCGGCGAATGGTCTCTTTGAAACTCACCGTCCTCTAGGTATCAGCTACATATAATCTATAGGTTAGTTGCGCTTCTCACAGAGTTTCAGCTCGTCGTCACTGCGTATATCTATACCTGTTTGGGGACTAGATAGTTCGCTGCGTGGCTACAAGCCAAACTGACAGCGGGGTGCACTTGGCGACAAGCTTTGCCTCCAGCTCTGTTTAGAAGTTGCATAGACCCCAAAGGCACCTCGTCCTACTTTTGTTGCTCCACGTTCTTGAGTGGGGCATGGAGTTGACAATGCCGTGGGCAGTCCCACAAGCGATGTCGAGGTCGCGTGCCTCCTGATCGATGCCGACCTTGGCCACCAAATCTCGAGCATCGCGCTTGTGCTTGATCGAATAGCTGCGCTTGGAGCGCAAAATGTTCTTGACTGAATGCAGTTTTAGGTGGAGCGAGGATGTGCTCTGCTATTAGCCATTCAATATTTTTTGGTAGGCAACTGGTCAACACATTTCATGATAAGGCATTTTGATTGCTTGATAATTTGGCACCCAAAACCCATAGTAATTGAAAAGTATCACTCTCGTTGCCAAATATTTTGTGATGCCGGATTATTTCGTTATTGTCTGTAACGGATATCTTCTGAATTTATGTAGTGGACACATCCACATCACCATGCCGAGAATGAGAGCTTCTTCAACGAAAGATTTGACCCAACCCGCGACGTAACGGAATATGCCTATCCACACATGAGACTGTTCTGGTATTTGCTGCCGCAGCAACTTTGGCGTGATAAAGATTCAAACAAGTACGCGAAGCAAACCACCATAGCTCGTGCCCGACGCATCCGAGTGCAAGGACCCAACAGAATCGCTGAGTGATATTGGACAAAGTCTGAGAAAGATGTCGCCCATTGAGTCATGGGAGCTTCATGTCTTTTGTGTGGCTGCTAATAGCAAAATTTTGTCTCCTATCCGACAGCGCCTATCTGCTCACTGGGGCACAACAGTGTTGGTGCTATCCCCTGCGGAACGTTCGAAAAGTGGTGACACGAAACTGGTAAGGCACATATTGAACACTCCTGAAATGTTTATCTGGCTTTTAGTTTAGATTTGATCAGATAAGCCAACATCTTCATTTCAGCGACAACAAGAATTGCCGGGCGAGCGTTGGTAGGGCATGGAAACTCACTCTCTTTTGACAGTTTGCAACAGACGCATAGAAGCGGATAAACACCGGGAGGGGATCGAGTCACGGTTGTTTGAGGTCGACTCCCGACTTCTTCGGAAAGAATACATTGCTCATTCAGGACAGGAGACTCGCCCAGGTAAACCGGAATCTACACAATACAGTATATCAGTACTCAAATCGAAAAATGAACGGCAAAACGCAGAATCCACGCACCTCCGGAAGATTGATACTTTGACAAGGGAACACGTTCAACGCACTACTAGGAGTTCGACAAGGGAACGCTTTCAACGCACTATAAGCGCGTTGAAAGCGTTCCCTTGTCGAAGTATCAATCTTCCGGATTGAAAGTAGTGCGTTTAAGTATTCCCTTGTCGAAGTATGTACGTTGAAAGCGTTCCATTGTCGAAGTATCAATATAAAATGGAGCCCGAGCTTGATGCTGATAACCTTCCGCAGTTCTATGGAGCTTGGCTCTAGTAGTCCCAGTGGACCGCGACGAATGCCATCTGTTGTTTACTAATCGCTTTTACACGTCAGTTGCGCTATTGTAGAAGCTTCTTTCCCGGAAGGTCTACACGACGGGAGCAATTAAAACAAGACGAATTGGTTTTACAGATTCACTTAAAGATGATAGAAAAAGCACCCGGAATCAATTCACCGTGGTGCTTACTGGGTCGTGAGAAACAGGATTGTTCCAGAGATGATTGTGCGTATGTGGACGGATCGATGCCAGTTCATTTGCTTGCTACAGAAGCAAGTACGCAAGAACAAACAACTGGTAAGTTTTTATGCAGGAATATACCAACGGTTATGGCCGAACGATTTATGATTGTCAGTTTACACAAAAGGTTACGGACAACTTGAAGATGTGCCTAGTCCTAAAATGGTAGAAGACTATCACAAGATCATAGGAGATGTTGATGTACACGACCAGCTCCGCCTTCAGCGCTTTCCCTCTGAAATTGTGATTTTTCTTCAAAACGTACTACAAAGGGTACTGGGAGGGAGTATTGTCGACCCACCTTGAACGGCAGCAGCGAAAGATGGTGGCGAAAGCTGCCTCTTCCTCCTCTAACAGTTCACCCCCATACCCACCTAGTTGAAGGATAGGTAACAGCTCGGACGCCAAGCAGATACACATACCGGGAGGTCACGTAGATAGACTCCTATGCGGGCACGAAGGAGTACATCCGCTCTTCGCTAAAAGTTCTGACTTAGATTGATATGGTTGCCACTTTCGGCGAATCCAAAAATCGGTGTCATTCCACTTTTCAACGTACGCCTTTTGGGTGGTAATGAACCGATTTTAATGTACCCCGTCCTCTTGCATTGGTTTGATTGAAATCCGTGAATCTTGCCTTCTTTATCAGAGACAGTTCCTAACGCCAGGACTTTCATGCTCATCCGGTATTGTATACGCATCGTTATTTTATCAACGCTAGCAAACATTCGTTTTGGCTTTGGACAGTATTATGCTAAAACCATACGTTAGTAAATATGGCAATGCATTTTTTGTTGAGAACGGTGCACTAAAAATTTCAATAGTTCCATAATTTAGGGTTAACATCTACTTTAATGCGATGTGGCTTCAACTGAGCAAATTGCCAAATGAGTTGACGAAATGAACGATTCTCGCTTTATTAGTATTATAGCTACGTAAAATCTGATCGCTTCGAAACCCTCAAACGCATCCGACATCTCAGTTGCGACGTGCTTATTGTTCAGCTTGAGTTCGTCGTACATAGCGCGAAGCTTGTCATACACGTCGTTGAGCTGCTCGGAGTTGCCGCTTAGCTCCGAGTACGCATCCTGCGCAGCTTGCAACTTACCCCGCAACTCACGGAGCTGTCCATCAAGGGCTGCAACGTGGGCTATGTAGAATTGAGTCGTCTCGACGATTATTGCCGAGTCGTGCGTGACCTTGGCAGCGGTTTTCGTTGTGCTATTGTAAGTACGATGAAAGTCGGCTCCATGCATTCCTTGTCTGGGCGGAGATGCACATCCATCTTAATGTCGTGAAGGCAATGCAAAAAAGGAAACTCGTTCTGGATGACCAAGTTTCATTTTCGCATTGCCTTCACTCAGTTGCTGTTTCAGTTCTATAGAGCGCCGGCCAGTACGGATTCAAAACGAATGTCACTAAACGCCAACCCCCAAAGTTTTTGAAGCGGAGTACGCACCCCCGTGTACAGACCTTACCTTGTTCAACGTTCGCAACCTAAATGGCATCACACGCTCGAGTGATGACGCAGAAATGTCTGAATACGACGCCGCTCGGTTGATAGCTCACGGTTTAGATGCATCCAACACTGTAGTAAAACAAAACTCTATGTGTCCACTGAATTAACCCTTTCGCGAGCCACTTCAATAAAGTATATTATATAAATCTAAGTTATTCATTTCCAAAAGGTCGCCCTTTTACAAACGCACGGTACTAGAAGACTTAACTAGTTGGCTATGTACCGCGCAATTCAGATATTTATACAATTTCTAGCGCCTCTACCAATATTATGCAAAAAATCGAAATTAGAAAAGAGGGACACTATATCTGCACGTCGTCGATTTTAACTATTATTTATTTTCAAAATGCGAAACTGAGAAAAAAAGACGACATCATCCCGTGCTAAGATGTCGCTCCGAATATAATCAGCTTCTGGAATCTTTCCTTTGAACAGTGCAGCTGCGAACACCGTACTCCACAGCGAAGTAAGGCTAAAAGAAGAAAACTAACAACTTACTTTGATGGCTCAGCCCGCTGGGGTAGCTAAGTGAAAAAAATTGATAAGGCCTAGTATGATTCTTTTGTTACATTCATTTCAAAAATGACGCGCAGGTGCAAAAAAGTGTTCTCCAGCGTCAACAGCCTTCACCGACACCTCGAGCACAGAAGCCTCGCTATGCCTCGCTAACAAATATATATAAGGCCTAGTATGATTCTTTTGTTACATTCATTTCAAAAATGACGCGCAGGTGCAAAAAAGTGTTCTCCAGCGTCAACAGCCTTCACCGACACCTCGAGCACAGAAGCCTTGCTATGCCTCGCTAACAAAGGCGCAACTCAGCGCCCAAGCGCGGGACCGATATCACCAGAAGAAATACAGAATGCCTACGTCTATCCAGGTACAGGTTGTTGCTGCTGTTGCTACTTCTGCAGATAGCGTGTCAACCACCGTCCCCATCGAAATGGCTATATTGGAATCTTCGACCACCGATACTACCCTCGCTACATCGCCTCCGGAGACTCCGCCGGCGCCAACCCTCGAGTGTGCTATATACTGTGAAGATGTAGAGGACCCAATTTCGGGGACATTGTGTCAGCATTTTTTTCTGTACAGGACGAAACCGGCTGACAAAATCCGCGGCTTCACGGTAAATGCTCAATGCAAGACGTTAAAGAGGCAGAGGCGGCCCTGACCTTTTGACCTACCTGAAGGACACCAGCCGCAACGAAGCTGCAAGTCTAAGAGATGTTTTTTAGTATCTGTATTGATTATAACTATATGAGCTTGCGTAGCTTTTATCTACCGCAGGGACGATCGAGTTTATGTGGACGATTAATCTAGAATGGATGACATCTTACTGATCGACAAGGACTACGGTGAAATTGCGCTGGAGTGCATGGTTCAGCGTATTGCAAAACGGTAATTATTTGGCTGCGGATCTGTTTGGAATTAATTTTAATAACACGTTTGTTTGTCCTTGCTGTAACTCTTTTTTTCGATACGGTTTCACCTCACAGAATCTACAGGAAGCCAATCCTACAAATAGCTAGAAGAAACGCGTGTTAGGGTCTGCTTAGAAGAAACGCGTGCTAGATCTGCTTGAAGTTCTGGTCGCAGTACGGTGACTTTCGGGGCGGCGACATTATGAATGTCGACGAGACAGCTATCTTGTTCGACATGCCGCCGACCAGGAGCCGAGCGCTGAAGGGGCGACAAGATGCGGCACGCATCCTCGGCAACAACAAGCATGCCCCGCAGTTCTCACGGTTCGGGACGACGGTAGGTTTTAGTCCTTACTTTTTGAAATGTATTTTATCTGACAAAATATTTGTTTATACCACGAAAGAGCCAAGTTGCCAATACTGTTCATCATTCGTGGTATACCCGGGGGTAAGATTGAAAGCGAGGGGTTTGAGTCTAGGGTTTAGGGTTTAGGGTTTATCCCGCCGGGAATTTTATGTAATGGAAGAGAGTACATGGATGGATAGATCAGTATGGAAGTTTTACCTAGAGAAACTACTTAAATATGAAGTCGGCCAACTCTCCTCCCGTGTCTCGAAGGACAGAGCCTTGTAGCCGAGGAGGCAAACGCTTACGGTGGTCGCATTGCCGCCGAACAGAAGCGCCGTTTGTCAACCGCTGGATTTCGGTGTCATGACGCAACTGTGCAAAACTACTGGTGGGACAGCATAAGAGAAACATATCCGAGCTATCACTGCTGCAATTAAAGTATGGAAATCCTTTAAGAAGAAGACGATACAACGTAGCTTCCGAAAAGCAATGCCGCGGTACCCTGAGGTATCCATGTAAATAGACGTTCCTTTCTGTGTTATCATATGCCTTTTTAGTTTTCTTGTTTTCCGGTGCCAGATTTTAGTGTCGGCCGCTGTGACATGTCGATACTATGTAGGATGGCATTCAGTGATGCCGGGTTTTTTTTTCGTCGTTGTCTGTAGACATTATAGCGAGAAGAAGTACTTTTGTGAGAACCGGCTAAAACGCCCATCTGTAGTAACCCCTTATTAGATCTCAATCGCCTAATTGATCAGAGTACAAATCAGATCGTGATCTATATGCATCGCTTGGCTGCGCGATTGCCCAGTAAAAGGTGGGCATTAAACGTGGCTATATTGACTTGGTCTCCATAAAACGACCGCCTAATTTGCACATCCACTCACATATGTATCGCAGGGACGCGATCGGTTTACAAATCGACCGAGCTAAATCAGGGTGCTAATCAATCGATTTACGAGCAAAATAGGCAAATAAAGCGGTTATCACAATAGACCAATAGAATCTACATTCCTCCCGCCCGTCCGTATCCAGTATTTAACTTCATGACGCATTTTGCAAGTTTCAGTAGGTCGTCAGCATCGTTTATATCGATGTCGTACTTATTAAGATACATTTCGCGATCGTTCTGATCCCAAAGCTCGCGGATCACGTCACTCGTCAGGTGCGGTGAAAAAACCTTTTCGTCCTCCAACTCATCGCCATCGACTTCAGATTCCGAATCAATGCATTTATACGATCCAAATTCGCTCTCTGGGTAAATGTTCCCATCAGGATTTTGAAAGAGTATGTCATTCTTAAGGGCCTGCGTCAGCAGCAAATCTGTCCTCAGCTTGAGCTAATTACTTCTTCCGTCAATCATAGCGCTTATCTTCGTCCACATCATCATTTCTAATAGTCCCATTCGAGTCGGTATCGCTGATATATATATACATTACCGTCACCTGAGTTTGGTATATTTTTTTGTTCCCACAAGCAAGATCTGATTCCATGCTCAAGCTTGTACTGCGTTTTCTAGAAAGCGCACCCATCGCGGATGTCGGTACCCGTCTTGCAACAATCTAGCAAATCTATACGGTGAAGGGTCCGGCGCAGTATTTGTTGTGCTGAACTTGATGTTTGCTCCACTGCATTTACCACAGCTTCCGTCTCTGCTCCCGCACCTCGGTCCATTGCTAATGCAGTTGTTGCGTCTTCTTGTCACGGCGCACTTGGGGGGGGGGATATCGTGGCACCTCTCCGACAATTCTGACGCCTGCGTCGGCCGTTGAGCCCACTCAGATGTCATGTCCTCCATGGTTACCTTGGTGTGGCTAGGCAACCATTAGCTTTTAGAAAGTGTGTATCGCACCTTATTGAGTTATTTTGAAAGGTTCATATTATTTGTTATAGAATATGAACGTGACTGCGTTCCCGACTGGGATTATATATTGTATAAATTTATTCGGATTTCATAAAACATGCACAAGCGACCGCAGCTAGCCGATCCCCGCGCGTAGCGCGATAGGGATTT